GGCTGCGACTGGGCTACCGGAGCAACTCCCCGGACTACAGGTGCTGCTGGCGACACGACGGCAACCTTCGTTTAACCTCCCCACACAGTCCCACCCCCCCTGACACACACCCCCTGCTTCACCCCTAGCTCCACTCCCCCTTCACCCCCCTTAGTACCACTCCGACGGCTCCAACAGGTCCACCCCCCTCAGCGGCAGCTGCAGCACTGGGAGACGGAGGAGGAGGAGGAGCAGGGGACGGCACACAGAAGCTGCACCCCCCATGCCCCCCACCCCAAACCCTAATTCAGGAGAACGGGCAGTAGCAGGGGTGGGGCGCCATCAGAAGCACGGGGGACAGCGGGCAGCGCAGAGGCAGCGAAGAACGGGCCGCCCACGGGCCTGGCACAGCGCTCGAACCGCGCGCAGGCGGCCCGAGCCGCGCGCGGGGCCTGGCGCAGCCCGTACGGGCTGCGCGCATGCTGTACGGGCGACGGGGGGCGACGCGCGGGTCCCCGTCGCCCGTCGCAGCGCCTCCCGAGAGCGACGCGCTGCGTGACGGGGCAGAAACCCGCCGCGCGCCTCGGGGCGCACGGCGGGCAGAGAACCGCCGCGCGCCTCGGGGCGCACAGCGGGCAGAAAACCGCCGCGCGCCTCGGGGCGCACGGCGGGCAGAAAATCGCCGCACGCCACGGGGCGTGCAACACAGAGAGTAGCAGTAGCAACGGAAGCAGTGAGGTGGGGCCCAGAGGCCAGGAGCATATGGCTCTAATACCATATGATGATAAGCAGTAGGAGAAGGCGCCATAGCTAGGAAAGCCCTAGCTAGGCAAGAAACCGTTTAGGCAAAGAGGGGGTTCACTAGCAGGAATGAGGATACAAATAGCAAACCCTAGAAGGGTTGTACTCGCTATAGAGCACCCCACTACAGGCTAGAGCATAACATTCTGACATGTAGGCGCGTGGCGACGTCACGATGACTCGCCACCAGTCCATGGCGTGCCCCCTAAGCAGCGAGATGGTGTATCTGATCTTCGCTGCGTCCGACTCGACGTAGTTTGCGTCAAAAAACGTGTTCATCGTGAAGACCCACGACTGAACCGTCGGACCTCCACGCTGACTCGGGTCGAAACAGGGCGGAGCGCTGCGGCTTTAGTGGCATTGGCGCCATGATGCGTGGTTGCCATTTGTCGCCGCAAATTCCACGCGCCGACGGACTTTACGAGGCTCCCATGGGCTTGGCGCGACCCTATTCCTCTCCATGCCTGGCATCGAGTGGGCGGCGCCATCAGTGGCTGCGCCTGAGCGTTTGCCCCACGTTGTCATTCTGTGTCGGTGTGCCTGATGAAATGACGATCGGCTCCTCCGATTGTGCTGGTGCATTTGCAGGTGCGTGTGTCGTGGTCGTGCGTGCTTACGAGAGAGCACTACGAGCGGCGGTGCTGTGTCGCAGAGAGACGTCTACCCCCCCCCCCCAAAAAATTGAGATAGTGGGGAAGCGAATGTGTGGGTGCGGTCCGAGAAGCGATCGTAGGCTCTAAATACCAAGTGTTACGAGTGCAATTGAGTAAGCGAGCGAGAATTGCACTATCGAAGCAAGATTACAAATGAGCGAAGGTATGAGCGAAAAATACCGTATATAGTGAAACTACAGTGGTAACGGTAATGGACTATGGTTGTCGCGCGACGGGGCTGGGACTAAGGTTTGGGAAATGTCGAAGCGGAGGCCCGGAGCGCGGGTTACCCGCCGAGACGTGAGGTCGGGGTGCGACATGCGAAGGTGGCGGGAGGATTGTCGGTGCGAGGGTTGCGAGTGGTAACGGTGCTAACTGTGGTGCTACAGTGATGTACGCGCTAAGCGAGGACACGAAGTAAGGAAAAGGAATTTTCCTTGCAATTGATAATGGCAGGAGAAGATGCTCGAAATAGCAGACAAGGACCAGGGGGTAAGAGCAATTCGTTAAAACTAAACTTCCTTTCCCAACCATATCTACTCAAGACATACCTGTCTATAATGTAGCACAATTTTCTTAACATCTTAGAGACGAATTGTGACTATACTGTATGTGATAGCACCTTCTTGGGTGCATTGGGATTCTACAATGTCATGATCCAGACATTCGATGTTAGTCTAGCGAGATACTGTATTGGGTGTGAGATAGGGACCAATAGGAAGCAAAGCTGGCGAGAAACGCGTGAGATTTGGTTTGGAATAAAAAAAAAAAACAAGGAAAGCTGGCGATACAGTTCTGCTATTCTTAACGACAAAATTCCGAAATCTTACGTTTACAATTTGGGCTGCCGGCTTTAAAACCCACTAGAGACTCAGGTGGCACAATTTGTTGACGAGCATTGGTTCATCACCACAGTTCATCACCACCCATCCGCATTTGCTGTTCTGTTCCTCGTTGCCCGTTAGTGAACCACCTTGCTGGTGCAACTGGCTGGCACCAATTGTTCATGGGCAAATTCGGGGGCAGCTGGCTGGCATTGATTGGTGGAAAATTCATGGCAAATCAATGCCAGCGCGTGTCCATTGCCTTAAACAAGTGGTGCAACTGGCTGGCACCAATTGTTCATGAGCACCACTTGTTTAAGGCAATGGACACTCGCTGGCATTGATTTGTAAAAAGCTCCCAAGCTGGTTAATCTTTGCAGGGTGGTTTACTTAGAATGTCTTATGTCTACGGTTGAATTGAGGAAAAAATATCATTTTCTGCGTTCTCAGCTGTTTTCGGATCTCTCCAGAACTCTTAAGAAAACGCCGCTGCACGAGTTTTAAGCAAACAACTGAACACGATCCAAAGCGAGCTGAGCCATTTCCTAACGACGTGTTAGGACCCACTCGGATTGGGTCAGCCACCACCCGACCCATCACTTCTAGGAAGGCTGCATCGCGGGTCTAGCCGACCAGGTCGAGCCAACCAGAACCGGTTGGTTTGCCTGAACTCGGTCGACCAGGTCGGCTCAAACAGGCCAACCAGACCCAACCCGATCGAGCTGGAGAGGTTACAATAGTCTGCGAACTTCAGAGTTCTCGCGCAAATGTCGCCTCAAATTCGCCGCACAGAATGATACCCTGCAACATCGACGCGAATTTTCCAGTCCACCATCCCCCCGCCCGGCAACTGCTTTCCTGGTCCCTCGAGGATGCACGGAAACCGACGAGAAATTGCCCTGATTGGAAAACAAAAAGCTCGGTCCATATCTGATTGCTTTTGCTCGGTCCAAAAGCCCGAAGCGGGAAAACAGAAAGCTCGGTCGCAGCGGAAGATCCAGTCTTTACGTTGCGGTCACTTTCTCAACATCGACACTCTACAATGCCACGAATAGTCTCTAGCTCCTTGGGTGTCTGATCCCTAAAGCCAAAAAATGTTCGAATGGGTTTTAAGAAAAACTGACTGCTAGGTGTACTTTTTTTATGTCTAGGGCTACTAGCCGAGAAAACGGATCGACTTTTGTGAACACCTTCCACTCTGGCAGGTCGTGTGCTGTCAGACTTGGACAATTGACTGCGAACGGTTACTTTGAGTGGGGGAGGTCCCACAACAAGGTCTGACTGTGGGTGGAGCTGGTGAGCTGTGCATGAACATCACGCCACAACCGTGCGCAACACGTGGAACAAGGTCACCAATCAAATCGACGATAGAATTCCAGCCAGAATTTTCTCACGAGGAAGTGTGAGACCAGAAGCGCTCCATACCTTCGTAATAGTCACAACATGCCTGCACTGCACACAGCAGCACACGCCACGGGATAATTCAGCAACTGTGCAGAACACATCGACGAAACCCCACAGGTTTCACATGCTGTGCTCCGTCGGTATGTTTTGATTGTATGTTTGGTGGTGGTGTGGTTTTTGTTGAAGGGTTGCTTGTTCTGTCAAACGGGGGCGCTTGATAGTTAGTAAAACGTTGGATTCGTTATCGTCTAGTCAATATTAGGGCGACGTCAGGTTGTACAAGTTTTTGCTCGCACTCTCTGGTAAACTTCATTTCAACACGGTGAAAAGCGGCAATCGTGGAGAACCGTTTTCCCCACCGTGTTTGACCGTTTTGAACCACGATACAGGAACTGTAAGCGTGTGTAAAATGTATAACCTGACGTCGTATAAGCACAAAAGCCGATTTCAGAAACCCTGGGCGGTCAGCACACGAACTGAGACACGGACAGCCACAGACACGGCAGCCACATCCTGGTCGGCTCTGTTCCCTCGCAAAGCTCAACAACTCCAGCGGAGAGACCCATCCGATCTTCCTGTCAAGGCTGCGAAACCCAGTCACAAGTCAGGAGGGATTTCTGCCATTACTACAGCAGTGTAAATTTCTAGTGTTGCGTTCTAGAGAAAGCTCCTCTCGTAGGAGAAGCACGGAACCGCATGGGTGCTGCCATTAGAACTAACAACAGATCAACGATGACCACGAAACATCAACGAATATACCTTATCTTCGTGCAAAGGTTGCGACTTAGAATACGCTCGAGTCTGACACACGCGCTTAGCAACTCATAATTAAAAAATGTTCAGCCCCGAATCTGTTAACTTCTTAAGTCCAAGTCTGGAGACCAAGTGCTAAGGATACGGCTAGGTCACATTTGGGTCACTTCTGAAGAACCTACCAGGTCACTTTCTGGATAGGACTCGGTGAAGAGATTTCGTCCTTCAAAAACATTTTTCAGATCTGTGAACACTAGTATTCTCCTTGGATAGCTCGTTCTACCGTTAAAACATCTTGCTGAATCTGGAGATTCTTTTCCGAGATACCGTAGTATTTGAAATTTTTGAGGACATCTATGCACTCAAGAAACGTGACAGAAACAGAAATATGTAAGTATCCGCAACAAACTCCCACGAACCCTCCATCCCACCCCCTCAGCCTTCTCCCTTCGCATTTGGCACCAGTATAGTCACAATGGAACATGATCATCATGTGCACGAAAAGAGGCAGGCTGGGGAAAAGGAGGACGCATCAGGATTCCAGCGGCAGATAATCCAGCGAGAGCAGTTGCAACAAGGGCAGATCATGCCACCACGGGAGCAGTTGCCTAATCAGTTGCCACAACAGCAGATGAAAGAGCAGCAGATGAAGGAGCAGCCTAGACCGGAGCAGATGCAAGAGCAGCAGATGAAGGAGCAGCCTAGACCGGAGCAGATGCAAGAGCAGCAGATGAAGGAGCAGCCTAGACCGGAGCAGATGCAAGAGCAGCAGATGAAGGAGCAGCCTAGACCGGAGCAGATGCAAGAGCAGCAGATGAAGGAGCAGCCTAGACCGGAGCAAGAGCAGCCTAGACCGGAGCAGATGCAAGAGCAGCAGATGAAGGAGCAGCCTAGACCGGAGCAGATGCAAGAGCAGCAGATGAAGGAGCAGCCTAGACCGGAGCAGATGCAAGAGCAGCAGATGAAGGAGCAGCCTAGACCGGAGCAGATGCAAGAGCAGCAGATGAAGGAGCAGCCTAGACCGGAGCAGATGCAAGAGCAGCAGATGAAGGAGCAGCCTAGACCGGAGCAGATGCAAGAGCAGCAGATGAAGGAGCAGCCTAGACCGGAGCAGATGCAAGAGCAGCAGATGAAGGAGCAGCCTAGACCGGAGCAGATGCAAGAGCAGCAGATGAAGGAGCAGCCTAGACCGGAGCAGATGCAAGAGCAGCAGATGAAGGAGCAGCCCAGACCGGAGCAGATGCAAGAGCAGCAGATGAAGGAGCAGCCTAGACCGGAGCAGATGCAAGAGCAGCAGATGAAGGAGCAGCCTAGACCGGAGCAGATGCAAGAGCAGCAGATGAAGGAGCGGCAGAGACAGGAGAAGATGAAGGAGCGGCAGATGGAAGAGAAGCGGAATCAGAAACAAATGCAACAGCAGCACATGATGAACAATAAGCGAATGGAACAGCAGCAGATGCAACCACAGCAGACGCAACAGCGACAGAGGCAGCTGCAGATGCAACAACAGGAGATTCCACAGCAGTTGCCACAGCCTTATACAGCACTGCTACAGTCATACTTACCACAAGCAGTAGCACAAGGTGAGACTGCAGCTGGTCCATCAGAGTCTGGAGTTAGGCGCATATTGACGCGCGACAGAAACTACCACCAGCATGGGAAGTATCGGGGAGTGAGGAAGCGTGGTGCGTCTGGCTACGTTGCTGAGATTAAGGACACGACTCATGGATTCCGCAAATGGTTGGGCACGTTTTCTTCAGCTGAAGAGGCGGCTCGGGCGTTTGATAGAGCTGCTTTCGGTATCCGAGGATCGAAGGCGAAACTTAATTTTCCAGAGGTTTTTCTCCAGGAAAAGGGAGCAGTGGGTTCCAATCCTGCCGAACCAGAAGCACCGGTTCAGATGGAAGCCGCAGGAATGGAGGATGGTAATATTGGTGACAGACATGGCCCGAGAGTGCCGAAGATTCGGGCATCTAAAGGACAAGTTGGAAAGGGCAGTTCTAGGAGCTCTGGAGGGGAAGGGAAAGAAGTCGCGGATTCTGAAGATGCTGTGGAAGGGCGTTCGGTGGGAGTGGATGCGGTCAAGAAAAAACTGCTCGGGAAGGGAACAAGTAGGGCAGTGGCAGCGGCTGGACCTGAATCAGGTGGAACATCAGGGGCTGTAGGTTCTGTGCCAATTGGTGAAGCAGCAGGAGGGGGAGCTGGTGATGGAGGAGAGGGGGTTGAGGGAGGGGGGAGAGGAGGGGGAGGGGGAGGGGGGAGGAGGAGGAGGAGGAGGAGGAGGAGGAGGAGGAGGAGGAGGAGGAGGAGGAGGAGGAGGAGGAGGAGGAGGAGGAGGAGGAGGAGGAGGAGGAGGAGGAGGAGGAGGAGGGGTTTGCGTAGCAATAAAAGCAGTACCAGTACCAGCACACACCCTTGAAAGAAGCTCCACTGTCAGCAGCAGCAGCTCCAGCGGAACTGCCCCTTTCTCATCTGTCCTATCCACCTCTTCGTCTCCCGCCTTTGCCCCTTTGGCCCCGGCCTTTTTCTTATACTCCAGCCTTCCTGGTTCCCCTGCTCCCTCCAGAGCTACCTCTTTCATACACTCCACCCGTTTTGCTACCCCTTTCCATTACCCCTCTTCCTCTTCCCTACAATCCACCCTTCCTGCTTCCTCCTCACATTGGCCATCTTCGTTTTCCCCACATTCCTCCCTTTGTGCGACCTCTTCCCCTGAAGCTGCACTTACGACCCTTCCTCTCCATGTCATGTTTCCGTCTTATCCTGGTGTACTGCAAACCTCAGCTGTCACTCCATTCCCGTGTGGTGATACCATTGGTCGCTTTTCTATCCCGCAGCAGAATTCACCATGTGCTGGAACTGGTGGGACAGGTTTGCTGGGCTTTGGTGTGCCAGGAGCAGGTACAGTCAGGGTTAAAGGGTTGGGAATTGAGGGCGTGGCAGCAGATGCAGAGCAGTCCTATGCGTGTGCGGAGCAGTTTGTTCAGCAGCTTGTGAAGGTTGAAGAAGCAAATGATGCTGGAGTCGGTGGGGTTTGTGCTACAGAACGTAAGCAAGGAGCAGAAGAAGGGGAGATTTGTACAGGGGAAGAAATCAGTGGGAGCAGGAGGAAGGTGGGGACGATGGAGGAGGAGGAGGAGAAGGAGGCAGAGGAGGAGGAGGAGGGGAGTGTGATGGAGATGACGACAAGAATTGATGGGCATTTTGCTTGCCTTGTTTCTCGTCATGGTTGTGTGGCAACGGTGACAGAAATGGGGGCAGCAGATCAGTACCAAGAGTTGCCTCACAGCCATCACTCACAGGCGCAGCAGCAAAACCAAAAAGCAGAAAACGACCACGAGCATCAGCAGCAGCAACTGCAGACTCTGCTGCAGAAGCAACTTCATTTAATGGACCACCAAGAGCATAAGCAGCAGCAGCAGAAACGCCTTGCGTCAAGCTTCCCGCGATGCAACTCTCTTCCCCCGAAGGCTGGAAGGAGGGGCACAAAAGGTCCACGGCGTGCTTCAGCAGACCTCACAGCTCTACCTTTCTTCAAAGAGGAAAATATGGAGCCACAGACGTTTGGGATCCACACCCCAGACTTCAAAAGAGACAACAAAAGGTCGAAGCTTTCAAGCCCACCCTGGTCCACAGCTCATTTCGAACCTGCGTCTCAAATGTTTCGAAGCCACAGTGTCTCTTTCCCCCTGGAACCACCTGTTGTAAGTGCTTCAACCCCTGAAGGTATGAGCAGTGCAGGTGGTGCTGGGTTTGCTTGTGGTTTGG